TACAACTGCTCTGCAGAAGGGAGGGCAGAAGTCAGCTGAAGTCAAAGGGGCAGATAATGGTAGGTTGATGGTTAGCTGGGAAGGAGATGGGGTTGCCAACTCCAGGCTGGCAAATTCCTGGGGATTTGAGCAGTGGAGCCTGGAGAGGGTGGGGTTTGCAGAGGGGTGGGACCTCAGACAGGTAGAATGCCATAGACTCCACCCTCCAAACCAGCCATTTCATCCTGGGTAACAATTGTTGCCAATCTCCAGGTGAGGACTAGAGATCACTGAAAATTACAACTGCTCTTCAGGTAGCAGAGATCAGTTCCTCTGGAGAAAACAGTGGACTCTGTCATTATACCCTGCTGAGGTCACCACAGCAAACTGACACTGTTTGCCCAAAGCCAGAGCACTCTCCCAGAGCCTCTTTCTAGATCTCGTTGTATTTATTTCCACAACGGGCCTTATTCCTAGTTACATATAATTACAAGATAATTTAGACCAAACATTTTTACAATAGCTTTCTACAGCTACATGGTTAAAGATGGGAACTCTGTCCCTGCTCACAACTTTCAGAACAAAGACAGGAAATTCTGCCATAAAACAACAAATGTGTCTGTGACCAAAAGCACATCTTCAAACCAATCAATCAGCGAATGACAAAACTAAAAATCACTTCAATCATACTAAATGCCACACATTCTAACCCAGGAAACTTTCTCTACTTCTAATTGGTTACACCTTAGCTAGATAACATCCTGTTTATACACAACATCAGTTTAACTCTGTCATGACTGAAGTGTTGACACCTTTCAAGTATTCCAACAAAAGCAGAACAGCAAACAGCAGATAAAAATGATAAGCAGAGGTTCAGCATTTTCCTCAGACATACATACAACCTGGTCTCCATCACTCAGGCCGTTCCTTGGGTCAGCGGCTTAACTGGCCATTGGGGGATACAGCTAGGTGTGTGTTCGATTGTGATATCCATCACAGAACCATTGGTTCTATCATATCCCGTTTATGGGATGGGCGGGATGTAAATGTGAAAAGTAAATTAAAAAAATAAAAATATATCCATGTGCATGTAAAAAAATCCCGTGCACAGTGTTCTTACTCAAACTCCACAGAGTGCCATTTTCAAGGAAGACAAAAACACATAGGGGAAAACATCCTGTGTTTCAATATTCACTCCTCACAATGAATCTTAACTGGAAAATTCAAGTGCTGCTACCCAACTCACTGCAATTGTCTTTTCCAGACAATCTGCTGATGAAGAAAAAAACTATGATAGAGGTTCCTGGTGCAGATGTTACACTTGTGTATAAAAAGGTGAGAGAATTAGAAGTATTACAGAGATTGAACTCCTTCTCATCAGTATGGGCAATGTCTTGCTGAAACCAACAGCCACAAAGAATTTTGGTAGTGCAGAATCTCAGGTAGAAATGGGGATGTCATTGGGCAAGAAATGGAAATTGTCATGGAGTTCTGGCAATATATTTTACCTACATCAATAACTAAGCTCTCAGTACTGTCATAAATTGTAATTTGCTTTCACTGCTAGCCCTTTAAGTACTGATCCCACACAGCTTTGTTAGTTTTCCAAAGTCATATGGTCAAAAAGTTTAAATGTTCCAAATGATAAGAGTACTACCAAGACTATTAGCTTGCTTTGTTTGTTATTCTTTTATCTCACAAGAATGCCTTGTCTTTTGGTTCCCCATCTGTTTACTGTGCTAACCCACTATATCACATTAAAGGGACAAGTTGTTATGTACAGTAAGAAATAAGAAGCATTTAAATACGGCTGAAACAATAAACTGACCTGGTCTGAATGTCAGAGCAACTTTTTATAAAGAGGTCTAAAATCAAAGTGATTTTAACCTGTGATTACTCTGTAAAACAGAGCTCTTCCACCAGGCCTTTAGGTAAGGAGCCACATCCAACAACTAAGACCCTGTGCCCAATGCCACCATCAATAGCCTACACTTTGCCAAACTGTAATAACAACTGCTGACTGTATTTTTAGTATGTCTGCTGCTATTTCTACCTTGCCATCACCGTATAAACTGATACTAGCACTTTAAGTCTTGTTTTTAGAGCTATATTTATAATTGTTGTTTTACTTCTTGAATTTTATGTAAGCCACCCTGAGCCTGCCTTGGCGGGGAGGGCGGGATATAAATCAAATAAATAAATAAATCCTCAGTAGCATGTTTGCCAGGTGTCTGATTGAGAGGGAAAAAAATCTGGAATAATGGTGGTCAACCCCCTAATCTTAAAACCATAATACCTGAGAATCTTTTAATAACAGATTGTCCACTACATTCAAACTGTTCTTTTTTCCAAATCTTAAATTCATCTAGATTCTGAATTGGTGGTAATTGCTGTTGCTTGGCTTTGAAGAAATGCAGTGGAGATAGATGCTCTACCTGTAGCTCATTATTTATTATGCAGTTCTTTATTACATTTCTTCCCCTGCCCTCTTTTATAGGGTGAGTGTTCCCCACTGATTGTCTATAATTTCTCTGTAAATTGGTAAACTGCTAATGGGTACATTCTGAATGTATGCCATAGCTGAAAACCCTCATTTTCTAAACCTTGCATTCAGACCAGAATGTGGATTGGCCAGAATATACATGCTACTTCATTTGCTTAAAAGATAGTAGAAAAATAAAAAGTCAAAGCAGTCAGATTGTCTCAGAGATTAGATTATGGAGGATTTAGAAGAAAGGAACAAACCATCAAATGAGTAGTGTGTACTAGTGGCCAGTGGTTAAATGCATGGACTAATCTGGGAGAACCGGGTTTGATTCCCCACTCCTCCACTTGCAGCTGCTGGATGACCTTGGGCAAGCCATAGTTCTGGCACAGCTGTTCTTGAAAAAGAGCAGTTTCTGTCAGAGCTCTCTCAGCCCCGCCTACCTAACAGGGTGTCTGTTGTGGGGAGGGGAAGGGAAAGGAGTTTGTAAGCCGCTTTGAGACTCCTTTGGGTAGTGAAGGGCAGGGTATAAATCCAATCTCTTCTTCTCTCTTCTCTTTCCATTAATAACTGAGGCATTTGTCACTGTGAAATATAAAGGTGGACTTTCTGTCTAGGTTTCGCTAAGTAACCGTGAGAAAGAGGAGACTACTTCTTTGCGATCCACAGGCTTGGTTATGAAAGCCATTCCTTCAAATGAGACTGAAGGTAAAGACAGTGGGTGTGTGTGGGGGGGTAAGCAAATACCTCTTTACGCTGAGGTTGTGGTGTTTATTCATTAAGGACGTCTAGCTGTGAACTGGGACACTGCAGATGACCTCCTCCCCAATAATTTTTCCCTGTTAGCATGATGTATGCACTTTTGCTGAGACAGCTCCCATTACCTGTTTTCCTTCTTCAAATAAGGGAGTATGACTTAATAGCCTCAATGAAGGGAATAATCTTCTTTCAGAAGTGAATAGGATGAGATGTCCCATTCTGGAGATTAGAGCAATTACTCCGATGAGAGAAAGAAACAAGGTCCAAAACATGCCAGGAACCTTTGCATGGTAGGGATTATTCTGCCTTACTTTGCTGCACTCCTGACTTTCAAGGTTCAGATAGACTGACCTAAAACCAAGAGCCAACATACTTTTTATTGCTGTGGGGTAAGTCCCATTTTCCATCAGCTTCACTCATCAAAGTATGCACCTACTTGCATCTAATGCTGACTTTCTCGAACAGATTCATCTCCCTGCCCATGCATTTAGTGGCCTGTCTCTCTTTTGGTTTGTTTGTATGATTTTCATACAGCATCTCCCCCTCCCCCATCAAGTCACAGCTGAGTTATGGTGACCCCATAGGGTTTTCAAGGCAAAAGACATTCAGAGGTGGTTCTGCATCGTGACCCTGGATTGCTGGTGGTCTCCCATTCAAATAACCAAAGGCAATCCTGCTTATCTTACAAGATCTAATGAGATCAGGCTAGCTTGGGCTATCCGGGTCAGGGCATACAGCATCTACTGTTTGTGTTAAGCTGAAAAACTACTCTGGTCTGAGACAACAGGGTGTTTTGTGCTGTCACAGTAGTAGTATAGGTAATTAATATTACACAAGGCCCTTCCACTTCTAACTGGCAATCCTTATGAAAATAATTGTCTATAACAGTAATGTGGGGGAGTACAAAAAAGAGTTACTCCTGATGTGTCTGCTGTTGCATGAACCCAGGGTGTCACAGCTGGGGAATGATCAGCTCCTAAAGTAATTTTTAAAAATTAAGTCACAAATAGACTTTGGTTATCTCCATTGATGCCAGAAGCACTATCCAATAGGTGCTCGTGAAACTCAAGCATCCACATCCCATACAACACATATGAGCACATCAGCACTACTGTCTGGAAGGGAGACAGATAGACATACATTTCCTAGCAATTTTGAGCTGTTGGAAAATAGAAACACCCATAAAAAGACTTCCAGTTTATGCAGCAGTGAGATTGGTAATGTCTCAGAGAAGCTCCTGAGACGTATCGAACTGGCCCACTTTTGGGGGGGGCAAGGAGGCCGCTGGTGGGGGTCTCTGAAAGCAGTGGGGTGCATTTTGGGGTCACTTCTCTTGGCTAGACCAGGGGTTGAGACCTGGAGATAAGTCTCGTTCTCCCAGGGGGTACAGCAGCCATCTCTGGCTTTCAGCTGTGAGCACAAAACAACTTAAGATAAAGAATAAAGAGAATCTGTCTGCAAGCTTGTCAAGATCGTGAGTTATAACTAAAGGTTCAAAGGTTTTCCCTCCCTATCTGGCTATAAATACATTTACACGAGGAAATTTCTCCCCTCTCTACTTGTCTCTCATCATTGTTCCATTGTAGATCTGGTGTGCTTGAATGTCAGTACTGCTGAAATTGTAAAGACAGCCAACCTCTCAGGACGATCATATTCTGTAAGTGGCACTATGATAAGTCATAATTATGATCATGATGGTGAAGATTAGTCTCTGCAAGGAATGACTGTGAGACTCCTAAGCAATCTGTAGTAGAAAACAAGATATGGAGCAGCTCTAAAACTTTTTGAAAGCAGAAATTTGCAAACCGAGGGGAAGGGCTATAGTTCAGTGGTCGACTCCACCACAAGATTCTCCAGTGAAAAGGATCAGGCAGCAGGTGATATGAAAGACCTCTGCCTGAGATCCTGGAGAGACTGAATAGACAGTGTTGACCTTGATAGACTAATGATCTGATTCAATATAAGGCAGCTTCGTGGTGGTTTTTTTTAAGAACAATCTTTGGATTTTACATAAAAACTGCAACTGATTTTCCATCCTGTTGACCAAACCTGATCTTTTTATTATTAGATTTCATTAGCTAATCAGATATGGCTCACTTCATGCATATACTATATCTCTAATATGGATTTTGGTCTTGGCTGAGAAAAGGTCAGCTTTTAAATGCAAATTCTTCTTTCATGTTTATAACAGTTACTTACAAACAAGATTCGAACGCGCAACATCAAAATGCAAAGCACAGAACAAAGATCCTTCACTGTGTGCCTGGACAAGGACTCCAGAAGAGTCTACAAGAATGTGACTGGGTAAGGTCACTTAAGGAGCTATTTATTATTAACTTTTCTCTCAGATTTCCCCTCCCCCATTCAAATGCTCAAACTGTGGCTTAATCCTGATTTAACACCCAGTTAGTGGGGAAGAAACAAGCTTCAGTTTGTACATGCATCTGCATTAGGATCGCCAGTTTCCAGGTGGTGGCAGGAGATCTCCCAGAATTACAGCTGGTCTCCAGGTTATAGAGATTAGGTTTTCTGGAGAAAATGGCTGTTTTATTTATTTATTTATCCCCCCCCCCGAAGGGGATTTTTTAATTGCATTTTCTATAAACTACAAAGAAAATAGGAAAGGGAATCTAATATCTATGGGAGAAAGGAAAGTTAACCACTAAAAAGCCAAATAGTGAAGATCATTACATAAGCTTATAAAATGATTAGTCTAATCTATTATTAAAACAGCCATTGTTTACAGTTTAAAACCACTTTGCCAGGGCTCAAAAGACTGGTCGTTTCACTGTCGGTGCTCAAATAAGTCTCTCAAAATAAATCGCTGGGGTTTCCCCCCTCTTCCCCCCTCTTCCCCCCTTCGCTGCGTTAAACTGTCCAAGCACATAGGAGGCGTCCCTCCTCATGCTCCGCTTTTCCCATGGGGGGGGGGGACTTCGTTTTAGAAAAATAATCTGTTTATTTCAAACTCACATTCTTTGTTGATCATGTCTTGACCCCGCTCTATTCATTCGATATTCCGCTCGATCTCCTGCGCTTGTCCCAGTTGAATTGGTTTATACCTGGAGGTCACACATTGGCTGGACCATCAGGGCAGAGGGAAGCC